TTGCCACGACCCAAGCCCATGCCCATGACCTTCAGAGGTGGAGACAGCGGGTGCAGCGTTCAGCAATGCCATGCACCCTCAACCCCGAGAAGGGTTAAGGGACTCATGATCATGATCACGACCAGACAAATCCCACCTCCTTTAACCATAGTTAATCTCAAGTTCTTTTCAAGATAGATGGGTATTTTTTCCCCCTCAAAACCAAGACAAATGAACAAGTTTTAAGATGATACCAATATCTCCATAAAATATATCCCAAAATTGGCGAGAGTCTGATTCCACTGTGTCATGACACACATAATATTAATGCTGATTGCTAGTCTCTTGGGACAATTTATTTGGAAGACGGCATATTTACGAGGGATAATGTGTGTATGTGACGCGAATGTTTCTGAGTGTGCCGGTGGTTTCAGGTATCCTGTTAAAATCTATTTCAAGTAATAATGCCGTAGTGTGTGTGTGTGTGTGTGTGTGTGTGTGTGTGTGTGTGTGTGTGTGTGTGAGAGAGAGAGAGAGAGAGAGAGAGAGAGAGAGTGTGCTTGCATCTGAGTCGTTTTGTTTTTTGCATGCTTCATTTGCATCAGCAAAAGAGTTTATAGGAGCATTTTGAGAGATTTTCATGATACCTGTTAATCTGAGAATGCACAGCTACATATAATAAACATCAACAAATGACAGTTTGTTTTAACTTTTATCAACTCAGTTGTCTATAAAATATTTTAAAGAAAGCTTAACATTCTGTGTAAAAGGACAAAGTATTTCCTTGGTGACATGTGCTTGATTCTGATTAATTTGATTAACTTTTAAAATAATTCATTTGAAAGGATTACAGTTTAACTATTTCGGTGAAATAATGCATCTCTCATATGTGGTACCTTATTTTTAATTACACTAGTTGTGCCTCCTTAAGTTATATGTTCACATGAGTCACTGATACACTCATGAACTACTAGAAGGAATGAGATGTAGATTCCTTTAGAACATTTTTTAAACAGAGAAGGACTTTAGTCCTACACCTTTTCTGACTCTTTCTATAGTATTTTTAGTGTTTATCTTGTCATAACATGTTCAAATGTTGCTTAGTGATCGAGATCTGACCAACGTTTTTTGTTTTTTCATTTTCAATGTTAGCCTCTTTATGACATAATCAAATTATATTAGAATTAAAAATGTATTCACAGAGTGGAGCAAAATTACAAGCCTACTGGCTGAACAGGCAATGATAGACATCAGCTAGTAATTAGTCACTTCCTAAGTGAATTTAAGTCCTCTGGTACATTTTATATTCTGATCTATAACGATAATTACTCTAAATGTTGTTTCTTATATATAGTCTTATATACAGATTTTATTATGGCCTAATCCTGAAGTATCAAGTGACTTAAATTTAGCATCCACCTGAATGAACATTTTAGAAATTATGAAACAGAAGCAGATCTGAAAAGCATATTGCCTAGCAGAATTCTAAAGCATTAAAAGAGAATCATAACCTTGAGTAGGGTTGGAACTGAGTAGAATCAGTTGACAAATAACACATATTTAAGGAAGTGATGTGAATAGTAACAGATTATAAAAATATACTTTGGGACATTTTACTGGAACATGACATTATGAAATCAAGAAATTGTTAACGTGATTAAGCTTGAGAAATATATTAAAATGATTCATATGTTAAGTTACACATTTGACTGATTAGCTTACAGAGCCATAAAAAATACCATGAAATGAACTGTATAGTGACATATAGTTACAACCGCATGTGTGTGTATAGATATATATATATATATATGTATATTTATATATTTTCTTATACTTCTTGATAAAAATCACACATAGAAGTTTAAGTAAGTATCTCTTATTCCATTCACTTGCCATGAAAATCAAATTTAAAATGATTTACAACCATAAGGCAAATGCACTAAACTTCTTTTAAAAAATAAACAAGAGGATTGTTTTAGCCAAAATTCTTTGAACATCAGACAGAAAATGTTCACAATGCGAACATTATTTCAAATTGGTAAACATCAGTATTCTATAAACAAGAGAGGCCACTGGTGCAAGGAACACCAGCCATTGTCAAAATTCAAGAATAACAAAACATGTCATATGTATTCACATAGAGAGGGGACATCAAGATTATTAATTACATGATAGTTTACATCAACATTATTTCTTTATCTCTCACTCTTTTGGCTAATCCATCTTTCTTTTACATTCCTCAAAAAGCATACACTCATACTCATGTAAATAAAAAAAAATTTTTTATCCACAGCGGGCAAATACACACATCAATGGTGTTGTGCTCTAACAGTTTAACTAGTTGAAATGGTAACAGTTCTGCTCCAACAGTGTAACTAGTTGAAATGGTAACGGTTATTCCCTAATTAAAATTTTTCCTCAAGATCTAAGATAGACAGACATTAGACATCCATCATGACTTATTTAGCTATTTATAAAATCTTCTTGAAATTCATTTTGAGGAGGGAACGTTATATTGACAGTTGAAATTTTCGGAAGAAATCAGTCATACTGTTAAGTCTGTTTTGAAAAGAGTTATACAGCGCTCGCAACTGCATAAGGTCATATATGAGCGTGTGAGACACTCTAAATATTTTCAGTTTTGGTTGGAATTTTGAATTTTGCTCGGGTGGCGGCCGAAGCCTATACATACTGATTTTGGACCACCAAGTGATCTTTAATGTTCGCAACTTGCACAAGAGACCTCTGAGATATTTTGCCCTTGTCCGACAAGGCTAGGTGTCAGATCTTACATTCCATAAGATAAGGGGTGTGGCTGAAAGACAATAGTAAGAAGGAGCCGAGGAGTAGCAGTAAAATGACTGCAGAAAGAGTCAGGAGCCCAGGGGAGGGGGCAAAGGTGGGGTGTAGGTGGGGGCAGAAAGTGGAGATGAAAGCAGACGACAAAACATGGTTAGAGAGCAGGAAGGAAGGAGAAAAGATAACATTTTAGAGAAAAAAAATTTCAGTCTCTGCAGTCAGGTTTCAAACCCGGGACCTCTTGAAAAACACTGTAACTTCTAGACCACAAGAGCCCCTCGTTATACTGTTAGAACATAACACCATCTGTATACATATACACACATATTCACTCATCATTCACAAACACACGCATTCATACAAATATAAACACACCCTCACCCACACACACAAATACCCATCCATACATACAAACATATACATGTATGTACATATATTGAACTTGCTCTTACAACTTACAAGCACTTGTCTAAGACAATCAATCACCTGTACAAATGCCCATTTCCCATTTCTCACCTTGTGTTTTTTTGTGTGTGTGGGGGGGGGGGGGACTAGAACAACCATTGTTCTCCTCAACAGTGGGTAGTCATCTTGACTGTATATATTTTATACACATACAGACACATACATGTTATATAGTGTCAGTGCTCTGATGGAACCTTATTAACTCGAATTTTTTGCAAAAGTAATAAATATCAAATGCAGATTATAACTACAAATGCTCAAAATTGCACTTTAAATTCTGTGCAAATCTCACTACCCACCACAATGACATGTTCGATCTTTTGAACCTCACTAATGCAACAGCAAGGTTTAAAGGAAGCACCAGCTGAGTGCCAGAGGTCAGTAGTGAACCTCACTATTTTCCTCCATATGGTCACTTACTTTACTGATTTCTCTTGATGTGTAGAGGGACAAAGAGATTTTCACCGAGGCAAAATGTATAATACCTCACTAGCCGACCATCGGGACATCATAAAACGACCCAGAGCACGTTAAACACTGTGCATGTACAGACAACCCAAAGATAGCGAGGTTGGTCGAGAGCAACCGAAAGCTACATATTGCTCTGTTCTAATCTTGCTAATACCTTAGCAAGCTTAAGCAAAGCAGCACATGAGATGGAGAACCTCGCAAAGCAAATGATGTTTTGTCACTAACTCATATTGTGCAATATTGTACTCAAGCAATCATGCACTTCAATGCAAGATTTTTTAAATCAGGTCCATTGGAATACATTGGCAAAATTTGACTGTTCAAGTATCAACATTAACAATGATAGACAAATCTTTTGTCTCTCCTGCAAACTTTAAAAATTAGAGTCAACAAGATTCCAACCGAGCTTCGATGAAATATGTATTTCACAAGTGCACGTACGCGCACACACACACACACACACACACACACACACACACACACACACACACACACATACACACACACACAGAGATGTATCATCATCATCATTGCCTTTCTCACCCTGCACCAGGGTATAGGCCACGGACAAACCCCCCCCCACTTTTCTCTATCCTGAGCTAGCCTCTTGATGTTATTCCATGTCTTCTCACTTTTCTGTACATCGATTTCTGTGATTTACAGAGATGTATACAAACATCTTAATAATATTATTATATTATTATGCGGGCAGGGCTTCTGTACTATGAATCCTTTCAACGAACTTATTCAAACTGAGATTTATGAGCTACCGATAATACAGTATCATAAAGACTTACTAACATGTTTTCATCCAAGCGAACACTGCATTTGCAAAATACGCATACACACACACAAACATAAACATACATGCACATACACACATAGACATATAAACACACAAACAAAACACACACGCACGTATGCACGCATGCACACACACATATACAGTTAATCTCTTGTGCTTTTTACTAAGCTACAGAGAGCTGAACACTTTCTGATGAATTCCATAGTTATAGAATAAGACGATGATGACAACACAAGCACCAGAAATGGATAGCTGCACTGACAGGATGATCATAGCACACTGAGTCAATGGTCATCAAGATTTCTGTCAAATTTGTAAAAGACATTAACCAGTTTGTTTCTTTCCAATGAAGGAGAAGTGGGTGAGGTGATGTTCCTCCCTTAAACAGTAAAAAAATATAAATATTCCTGGGTCATCACAAGTCAGATCTGAAGCATAACACGTCCTGTTAGTGGTTTTCTTAGTGTTCAAAAATGTTTTCTTTTTGGTCACATGGTCCTGACTGCCATTATATGGACAGGCCCTGGAAGTAAACTTTTGAACATCTGGTGGGCATCCAGTAGGGTCATGTCCTTCATGTTCTGACCATTCACTGACAAGAGGCAATCTCCTCTCCTGTGGAGTTAAATAGAGACTTGTTTAGTAAAAAAAAAATGCCTAGATACATTGGTAGTTTGTAAAAGACAAAAAATGTGCCACGACACAGCGGAATCAGGCCCTCGTCAATTTTTTGGCATATGGAGCTATTGGCATCATCTTAAAGGTAGTTAATTTGCCTTGCTTTCGATGAAAAAAGTGTCCATTTATATTGAATAGAAGTCGAAATGTTTGCGATTGAAGAAGTTGGGACCCCTGGTTTCAGAGGTAAAATTAGAGAGAAAATGTCCGTCAAAGTTTGGTGACTTCCACAGGTTAAGAGTTCTTGAAAACTGCAAATTAAAATTTTTTGTACCTTTTATCAAAGTTTTTCCTTAAAGTACACACAAAAAAGAGTTTTCGAAAAGGTGTTGAGCCAAAAAACAAAAATTTGAAAAAAATTTCAAAATTGTCAGAAAAATGCTGATTTCTCGAATTTCATTATTTTGATGAGCACCTGATTTCACCACAATGCCTAACATATGACAACCAAAGACATAATGAGAACCAAGTCCTTTTTAAACGGCAGTACAGTAGTCTCCGCCAAAGATCCCACTGCTTACGATTCATTTCGCTTAAAAGATCCCGTTGTTTTAGGAAAACAGAATTCTTACTACACAAAAACCACCCTTAAGACCTCGCCTTAACATGAGTCACCTTAGATTCTTCCCTTGGTGCATCAGCTGAGATCCCGTTTGCCTAAGATCCCGCATTTTCCTTGCTCCCGAGCACTGGGATCTTAGGCTGAGACTACTGTACCAAAAAACCCCTGTCTTTATATCTTTAGTTTTTAGTTTTAGTAGAGTTTTTACAGTGCTCGCAACTGCATAAGGACATATGAGCGCCAAGGGGTGGATGTCAACAGAGAAGTCGTTACAGGGAATCAGGCTTACTCTGCTCACCTCTCTAGCTTCGACAGCACAATGTCTGCTTCGACTATCAAGGCATCCCAGAAATAGAGGGTCACAAGAGTGGGACATAAATACAAAAAAAGTGGAGGAAAAATGACGATAGTAAGGATTAGGAAAGAAAAAGTTCCCTGTTGCAGTTCAGGCCCAGTTATGAGCATGACATTGATGAATCAGCCCATTTACAATTCTACTGTGCACAAGAACAGGTTAATGTACCCCCTTTGGGAATGGCCTAAAGCTATAGACACTTCAGTCAGTAGCACCGCCCCGGGGGGTATATCTTTATATCTTGTGACTTCAAGAAATGTTTAACAGGTATGAAAAAAACACATCCTTTTCAACATAGTGCTGTGAAACGTTTCCTCATCGGTGAGTCTCAACCAACAACAGAGCAGCAGTTGCATGAAGAGTAACCTTTGACAGACAAAAGTTAGTGATGATAACTTACTTCAGATGACTGTCCAGATCTGCTGTGGAGCCTCGTATGATGTCTTGGATATAAATATTGCTGATGCCTGCAACTATTTTTCGTACAACATTGATACCAATAGATGTTCCTTCCTCTGGAAAAAAAAAATTAATATACAGTACTACTCTGAAAAACAAAATGTAAATACACTACCATATAACATTCTCGCATACAACAAATGGCACTCTATTTTTTTAACCTCAGCATTGGGTCGGATTGCAAGCTATTATCGTCAGTCTTCATTTTTTAAAGACTGAAACGAAAAGAATTCATTTGACTTCTCTAATGAAGAAAAGTCTTAATTATTAAACTTGTGATTAAAGACTTTATATGGAATAGATGAATTCTTATCATGAATGATTAACAAAGCATTTTGGAAAGCCCATATGCAACAAAAACATTAATTTAAAAAACATTTATTAAAAAATTTATTAACTCATAAAGTTCATTTATACGCCCTCTGGTGAGTTCCAAGTTGAGCCTCATAGTCATTCAACCACTATACCTGTCACTGCCAAGGGTGATTTGTTGATGTCTTGGTTTGTTTTACAAATCACTCACTTTGATCTAATAGCTTTAAAAAAAATTAAACCTGCAGTGGCTTCTACTACCGGACTCAGAGGGACGGCCAAATTTTCTTTGGTTTAGTCACTTTTTCAGGTTAGAGAAATTGCTCAAATTGAATAAAAATCCAGGATTTTATTGTCTTTCCTTCTTCTGCAGTTTTCAGATAGTTTGAGCAGACCCCACTGTATCTGAAATCCAGTCTGTTTTATAGTTCAGAAATAAAAGTTAAATTTTCATTTAAAATGGAGGCTTGTACATCCTTTTTGTTTAAAAAGCTCATGAACATTCAAAATAATTCAGATTTCTTTGGAACAAAATAAAAGTATTAGTGCTTACCCTTGTTAAGTCGGACTTCAAATGTACATCGGGTCTGAGGTTCATGTCCAGAGGCCCTGACTTGATTTGACATACTGTGAGCAGATTTGTTTGCACTTCCTTGCCGGACACTACTGATGGGTGACATCTGAGGAAGCTTGCGAGGGGCCATCATGCTGGGGGTTGGTGGGGTGCTGCTTGCCATGTGCAAGGAGTTTGGCTGAGTGAAATTGGAGGGGTTATCATAGGACGACAGAGCTTGGTCTTCAGCAGATGCAGACTGAAATGATGCAGTGGCCTCATTAGATCTGTAGTGGTAATAAGATGCTTGTGAGAAAGACCTGAAGGAGGAGGCTGATGATGGGTGGGGTAGCTCAGCACCAGGTCCGAATGTCTGTAAAGGAGATCCAAAAGTTGAGAAATTTGAGGAGTTGCCATTGTCTAAAGGTGGTAGAGGATGTGGCATGGAAGCAAGTCTAGCAAAAGCTCTATTGTGATGAAAGAAAGTCAAAGCTGTATCATCAAATGGTTTTGTAGGAAATTCTGTGTTTTCCTGTGTCATTAGTAAATCTTGTAGCAGGTGCTCTGCTTCCTTCATTTTTGAAGAGGCTTCTTGAACATTTTGCAGGTTATTATACTGCTGAGAATGTTGCGTCATAGGCAAGTTTTGATACTGACCCGTGCTGTGCAGTGCATGGTAGTGATCAACAGGTATGTGCTGCGTGTGTGGGTGGTTACGGCGGCCTCCACGTGGGAGAGAGGAATAGCAGCCTGTAGTCATAGAACCTTCAGAGTACTTCCTGCTTGTCTGAGGTGCAGCCGCTCTGTGGGCATTTTTCTCATTGACTGACATTTCATACGAGTCCAGACTACGTGGCTGGTCCAGGCAGCTTTGTGGGTGCTGGCCATTAGGGGGACCATTTGTTGAATGGAAAGGTGAAGGTGAAGAGCTATTATGCTGTGGTCGAGGAAGCGTTTTTGATTCTGAAGAAAAGTTGCTATATTGTGACTGAGCAACATTGCTAGGTTTATTCACTAACTGCGGAATTTGCCTCCGCTGTCCAATCAATGGTGATGATACATCAATCTGCTTTCTGTTTTCTGCCAACTGTTGATCAACACGGTCAACAGCCTTGGATGTAGATGCAATATTTTTTTTTCTCATAGCAGGAGATGCATTGCCTTTCTTGTGGTCTAACTGGACCCTGGACTCCACAACTTTGACCACACTAGTGCTCTTTGGGGGCAATGTGTTTGACTTGTTTGCCATATCCTGATCTATGTACTGCTTTCGTTTATTGGTAGGGGTGCCATAAGTTGCATCTCCTGGCTTAAAACTGTTCAGATTCATCACGGGTGAGCTCTGCGCTACATGAGTTTCCACAGGCTTTACTTGCATTTTTACCACAGAACTAGACTTTGGAGAACTGACCACCTGGTGTGGGACAAGGGGAGATCCTGACTCCCTATGGATAGGCTGGTGGTGCCTCTCTTCTATGTCAGTATGTCTTTGGGCTTTCAGGCTGGCTGACCTCACAAAGGGTTGTCCCTCTTGTCTGTGTGTAACTGACCTGTGCACATTCGTGTCGTCAGACATTCTGATTGGATGCTGAGGCAGTACCACAACACTCTGAGACATCCCAGCACCGGCTGAGCTCAGTGTGCTCTCCTCCTGTGCCCGGTCACTTTTAGGGAAAGGAGGTATGTAGCTGACCTTTCCTTTACTCTCATTTGCTCCATTGATGACGCCTCCCGGTTTGGGTGCTGGCTTTGGTTTGGGGGGCAAGAGTTTGTTTTTATGAGTGTCTGGGCTAGGGCGCACTGCATCTTGCTTTGAAGGCTTCTCAATTTTGCCCTGTTCAAACAAAGTTTTGTGTTCAGTTTTAGGCAGATTACCATTGAGAAATCTGTCTGATGGCTTGTCTGAGTTTACCAGGAGAGACCCATTTAGCCTGTGCACAAATTGGCCATCCAATAGGTCTGGAGGAACTTCACTCAGACTGTTTCTGGGTGATGCATATGGAGAATGATTTGGTGTTGACACTGGACTTCCATCAGGAGATTCACGAGGAGAGGCACATGGGGAATTCCGAGGGCTGTAAATGAAACAAATTAAGACTTTACTTTCAATTAAAAAAATTTTTTGGGGTGAAAACACAGTCTGTCTGTGTGGATGCATCTGCAAAAGATTTGTAAAGGAACCTGTTGTCTTCAGACATAACCTGATAATATCACAGAAGTGCCAGTATGTGAGCTATTAAAACTTGAATTAGTCTCTCCATAGAATGTCAGCCACTAGAAAAAGAACTGCTTCCATCTTAAAACTAAGTATTGGCTTTACTAGACTGTTAGAGAAGTTGAATTTTAAAAAGTGTGGAATATAAGCCCTTTGTCATACAAATTAAGATTTTTCCATATAAGCATGTTGTACATCAGTTGAAAGCTAACGGAATGCTGAAACAGAATAAATCTTAACCTTTCCCTGTTGACATTCTTTGACAACAAGGTCTTGATTGCAAATGACAAACATAAATGATATACAAGAAGTGTCAGCAAGAACAATTGATCACCTTGCTCTTGGGGATGTCACTCTTGACCTAAAGGTCAGGGTCACAGCACCACGCTTCAAGGAGCGGAACAAGGACAACGCCGCTTGGTGAGTTAGGCCCTGAAGAGGCTGACCGTTCAGTTCCAAAATTTCATCCCCTGTAGAGAGGTTACAATTTATAAACATAACAACCTCAAAATGAACTCACAATGAAGTCAACCTACTTTATTCTAGAGGAACCAAACATGAGAGTCAATTTTAAACACGAAACTCATGTCAAAGGAGACGCAAAGCTAAAAATGAACCAAGTCATAGTTTACCATCCTATGTCATCAACGTCATAAGGTGTACAGCACTAAAAGTCTCCACACTTCCCATTTTTTGTTTTTTAAACAGATTACTAAATATTTGCTTTTATCATCCACAATATTGTGAAAAGTACATAAATTTTCAGCATGCATTTGGATCGCAAGGACTCTTAAGTGTATATATAAATATTATAAGAAATTGGAAATCAGAGGCAGTGGCAGCATGTATTTGAATGATTACGTATTTGCACTTAATATTTTCTTTCTCTCGATTTAAAAACACAGGGTTACCTGGACATGGCCTGTAATATCACAGCATGTACACTGAACAGGTAAAGAAACCAATTCTGATTAATTTAAATATGAAAATTGCCAACACTCTGATATGGTTAAATGTAGACTACATATTAAACATTATAAGTTAAAGTGATGGCAATAAGAAGGCATTATCATTATAGGGGTGTTTTACAAGGTAAACTTTCTCTCCACAAACACATATTTAAAACACTAAAGAAGCTCACAGCACTCTATAGTCTACACAATATGCCTACCTTCTTTCAGCCTGCCATCCTCAGCTATAACTCCATGACCAAATATCCGCCTGACAAAGATGCCAATGTTCCCTTTAGGCGAATCTGATCCTCCAACAACACTAAAACCCAGTCCTTTCCCACCAGCACCCTTGAAGACAGTTATAGTTATAGGTACACCCGGTTTCAGTGGTCGAGATGAGCCTGCCACTCGTGGGGCTGTTCCATCTTCTACCGGTTGGAATTTCTGGGGACATTGAAAAAGTGAACAGATTTGAAATCATTGATAAAGAGTTTCTGCTAAACAGATTTAAAGCAATTAACCCATCCAAATCTTACACAAGAAGTATCTGACAATTGAAATCACTGAGAGCATGTAGGAGCACAAAACACATTTAAAAAAAATCCCAGCACAATCTAACCGCACTTTGAATAAGAATGAGCGAAATAGTTTGGAAGTATTTTGTACTTTTATAAGCACAAATGGAATATCAACTAGATGACAAATACACAGTTTAAAAAATCAAGTTATAATCTTGTTCAGCTAAATTGGTAAAATTCAAATTTGTTTCTAAAGAGAAAAAGAAAATGACACACCATTAATTAAGAAAGAAAGAACTTTGACTCCAATTAAGTTGTATTTCGTGGCCAGTTGTACGGTACCTCAAACAATTCTTCCCATTTCATTATCGTTCCACATGGTGTCTGGGCAACAACTTCCGGCAAGGACTGAGGACCGGACGATCCCTCTCCAGTGGTCATTACCCCATCCTGGAACTGGCTGTCACCCTGTCTGTTGTCACAGGAATAGTCTCCTGATGGTGCCTGGGAGTTGCTTGACATGCCCTTATTGGTGCGTGCAGAAAAAGCGGGGGAAACAACTCTGGGACCATCCAGGAACTTCGTGGATGGTGATGCCACTGATGAAGATTTACGTATCTGATGCAAAAGAAAGACAGAGAAAGAAAACAATATTGACAACTAGGTAAAAAAAATAAGGGGAATACAGTATGTTTAAACAAACAAGTGGGACCTTTTGAGCAACACGTCTGACGTTTTGTGTCTGTTGGGGAAATAAAGTAGCAAAAATGAAATGAATCTCTCTTTCTCTCTCTCTGTCTCTCTCTTTGTCTCTCTCTCTGTCTCTTTCACTCTCTGTCTCTCTCTCTGTCTCTTTCACTCTCTGTCTCTCTCTCTCTCTTTCTCTCTCTCTCTCTCTCTCTTTCACTCTCTCTCTCTCTCTCTCT